TATATTCGTTTTTTACATTATTAGTTTTATCTTCTAAATTAACTAAATCACAAACAACATTGTAAGCATTCCCACCATTTATTATTAATGGTGTATTTTCTTTTGCTATTAAGTCAAAATTTATTATTCTTTTTTCTGCAAAAATTACCGGAAACTCTCCATCGGGAGTATAACCTAAATCAGGCACTTTTTCATTTTTAATATAATGATCTATTGAATCTCAAGTAGTTTCTTCTGTTAAACCAAAAATCAATCTAATTTTGTATGTTTTTGGGATTCAATTTTGATCCATCCAATATTTAATAGCGTAAATATTTAAAATAGTTGGCCCTTTATCATCAAGAACTCCTCTACCATATAAAAAATTATTAGCAATTTCTCCACTAAATGGTGGGTAGTCTCATTTATTCAAATCACCAGAAGGAACAACATCTAAATGTCCGATAATACCAAAAAGTTTTTCGCCATTACCATATTCTGCATAGCCATATCTATTTTCTGGATCTTTATAAGTTTTAAAACCTAGTTTATTGCAAATTTCTAATGTTTCTTCTAAAACTTCTTTGACTGCTAAACCATATGGAGCATCTTTTTCAGGTTTAGAAGCAAAAGATGGAATTCTAACTATATTTTGAATATCCTTAATAGCATCATTGAAATACTTTTCTACTAAATTGTTGTCTAAATTTTTGTTCATAACAATAATTTTAGTTAAAAAACAAATCAAATATTTAAAGTTTTACTTATTTTTATTCTTCGATAGTAATAGTTGCTTTTAAAATAACAGGGTTTTCGATTTTTTGCGCTCAATCTATTACGTTATAACATACTAGTTGCCAAGTCATTTTTAAAATGCGCACTACTAAAAAATAATGCATATGAAGGTCAAATATTTTCTGTTCAATAACCACCAATAGCATAAGCTATTACTCCCATAGTTAAAGCAGCTCATCCTATTTGGAATGCATTTAAAAAACATATCTCCGTAAGCAAATCACTTAGTTTTACCACCTTGAACTCCATTACGATAAAGTGTTGCTCCTAAAGTAAAAATTGGATAGTAAAAAGCAAGAACATATAAAGCTTGAGCAGCTTGGAGCAAACTAGGTTCGGGTTTAATATTTTGTAAATCATCAGCATTAATAAGTGCACTTTCAAGGTTGCGCATATTAAGACCTAAAATTATCAGTAAAAAAGAAGTAAAAACTCCAAAAGTTAAGTTAAATCCAATTAGTTCTTTAGAATTCTTTTTCGCTTTTTCGATGTTATTCTTAGCTAATTGATAGCCAACAAAATTTACTGCCATCACACTAGTTGCAGTTAGACCAACCGAAACTACTTGAAAAACTGTGTTAGCAATAGCAAGAACAAAAGGGGCTCCACCGTTACCATCCAATGTTCCCATTGGAAATGCTCATGCATAAACTGCTGAACGCATTGTAACTAAAACAATTAAAATAGAACCTGCTAAAAATAAATTGAATCTTCTAAAAAAGATTCTTAGTGTTGATTCACTGATCTTAAAAAGACTTCACGGCGAAAACCTTAATTCTAATTTCTTTTTTCAAATATAAAATACTGCAAAAATAAAAGCAACAATTCTAGAACTAACAGAAGCTCATGCGGCTCCATCAGCTTCTAAATTCTTTGCTCCAAACAAAGGGTTAAGCCATCTCATTAAAAAAAGATTCATTGTTATGTTAGTTCCTAAAGTTAAAACAGACCAATAAAAAGGCGCTCTAGCATGACCTATTTCACTAAGTTGATCAGTTAAGTTGGCAGTAATAGAAATTAGTAATCATTGAATAGCAATAATCCATAGATATTCTTTAGCATGCTTAAAAGAATTTTCATAATCACCACCAGAAACTCCACCACTTTTGTCTTCTTTTTTTAAAAAGACCTTTATTAATTGATCTGGAAAAGATCAAGCTGCGACTGCAAAAACTAAAGCGATTGAGAAACTAAAGATAAACCTAATTTTAGCTACTTCTCGAAATTCTTTATATTGACCAGCATAATAAAATCTAGCCGAAAGAACACTACCTAAAGCAGTAGTACCAAAACCAATTCCTAAAACTATGGAAGTTCATTGATTGGCGGCACTAATTCCAGTTATACCATTAAACGAAGAAGAAACCATAAAGTTATCAACAAACCCATTAAAAGCATATAAAACGCTCGAAATAGTGATTGGAAAAAAAAATAGAAAAATACATTTTCCATCTTTTGTAGCTTTTTGGAAAAAATTCTCCAATTGATTTAAAAAAGGTTACATTTTTAGACATTTTTTTAGTTTTTGTTTCATTATTAAAATTAATTATAAATTAGCATAATTAACTATAATTATTGTTTTTAATAGTTATTTTGTTAATTTCTTTTTTTATCTTAAATTCTATTAATTTTTTATTGTTTAATTCTATATTATTTTTTAATTTTGTTTCTAAAAATTCTTTTTTAGTTATAGCCCTAGTTTCATCAATTTTGTCTTTACTCACTAATGATGATGTAAAAATTTTGACTTGATCGTGATCAGTGATCAAAATTCCGCTAGATATAGCATATATTAATGTTTTTTTGTTGCTATGTAAATAAATAGTAAGCTGTCCTATATCAATATTACAAATCATAGGTTCATTATTTTTTTGAAAAGCTATATAACCATTAGTAGTTTTTAAACTAACTAAATAAACATAGTCATCAAATTCAATTTTATTTGGATGAAAAATAGTTAATTTAATATTGTTTTTTGCTATTTCCATTTTTATTTTGATAACTTTTTAGCTTTTTTTATTACATCATTAATGGTAGCAACATACAAAAAGGCTTGTTCGGGTAAATCATCGTATTTACCACTTAGTATTTCAGCAAAAGAATTTATTGTATCTTCAACTTTTATAAATTCACCTTTGATGCCAGAAAACTTTTCAGCCACAAAAAATGGTTGAGATAAAAAGTTTCTAATTCTTCTAGCGCGTTGAACTATTTGTTTATCGGTTTCTGAAAGTTCATCGATTCCTAAGATTGCAATAATATCTTGCAATTCTTTAAATTTTTGCAAAATTTGAATTACTTGTTGAGCTACTTCATAATGTTTTTTACCAACGATCTCTATCGAAAGTGCTTGAGATGCAGAATTTAATGGGTCTATGGCAGGATAAATACCTAGGGCAGCAATATTACGATCTAAAATAGTTTTTGCATCTAGATGGGCAAAAGTAGTAGCTGGGGCTGGGTCAGTTATATCATCAGCCGGTACATAAATAGCTTGAATAGAAGTAATAGAACCATTTTGGGTAGAAGTAATTCTTTCTTGAAGTTGGCCCATTTCTAAAGCCAAAGTTGGTTGGTATCCAACCGCTGAAGGGATTCGACCAAGTAAAGTAGATACTTCAGAACCAGCTTGAGTAAAACGGAAAATATTATCTATAAAAAACAAAACATCTTGTTTTTGTTCGTCTCTAAAATATTCTGCCATAGTAAGACCTGTTAGAGGAGCTCTCATTCTTGCCCCTGGTGGTTCATTCATTTGGCCAAATACTAGCGCTGTTTTGTTTAAAACATTAGCATTTATCATTTCATTATATAAATCATTACCTTCTCTAGTTCTTTCACCCACTCCTGCAAAAATAGAAATCCCACCATGTTGAAGTGCAATGTTATTAATTAATTCTTGAACAAGAACTGTTTTTCCTACACCAGCTCCTCCAAAAAGACCAATTTTTCCACCTCTAACATATGGAGTGATTAGATCGATCACTTTAATACCTGTCTCTAAAATTTTTACTTCTAAAGATTGTTCGTTCAAAGTTGGAGGAGAACGATGAATTGATCATAATGGAGTTTTTTGATCGATTTTTTTGAGTTTATCAATAGGTTGGCCTAAAACATTGAAAACCCTACCCAAAACTTCTTTACCAACAGGAACCATAATAGTTTTTTGAGTATCTATTACTTTCATATTTCTGACTAAGCCAAAAGTATTGCTCATCGAAATACACCTGACACTATTATTCCCGATATGTTGTGCTACTTCTAAAGTAATATTTAATTCTTCTACAATTAAAGCACTTAAAAGATTTGGTAATTTTTGTTCGTCAAAGACAACATCTACAATCGCCCCAAAGACTTGACTTATATATCCACAGTTTTGTTTTATTTTTTTATTATCTAGATTTTCCATTATAAACTTCCAATTATTTCTGCTATTTCTTGAGTTATATTAGCTTGTCTGATTTGATTAAATTTAAGAGTTAATTTATCTATTAACTCAATTGCATTTTGTGTAGCTGAATCGGTTGCATTTCTACGATAACCATATTCTACTAATTTTGATTCTAAAATCGCATAATGGATCAAACAATTTATTAAAAAAAACTTATTTTTTTCAAAAAGGGATAATGCATTTTCTTCAAAAGTATAAGTTTGTTTTCCTAATTCATCATTTTTTGTTTTTAATAATTCTAAAAGATCAATTGTTTTAACTTCAAAAATTAGATTATTAATAAAAGTAGTGGTAATTATGAAAAAATTATCTACCTTGTCAAAATAGTCTATTATTAAACTTGTGATTTTTTTTAAGTAGTTGAAACTATAATTTTCTCCTACTAAAGTTAAGTCATTTATTATGTTAATATTTTCTCTTTTTGAAAAAAAATTAAATCCTTTTCGACCTAAAACACAAAGATAATCATTATCTTGTATCTTTTCTAAAGTGGCTTTAAAAACATTTTTATTATAAGCTCCACACATCCCATAATCACTACTTATAACAAAGAATAAATTTTTATTAGTTTTATTCTTAGAAAAAATAGAATAATCAATATTTTTAGTAATAAGAGCAAAAGCTTCTAACATCTTCTCTATATATACTTTATTGACTAAAAACATTTTTTTGGTATTTTGGAACTTGCTAGTTGCTATTAAGTTAAAAGCTTTAGTAATTTTTTTTATAGATTTAATAGAGTTAATTCTATTTTTTAATTCTTGAATACTAGCCATTAGTTTTTTCCAACCTTAAAATTATAGTCAATCAAGTTACTAATTAGATTATTAATTCTAAGTTCCAAATCGTTAGTAAGGGCTTTTTCTTTTTTAAGAATATTAGCTACTTGTTTATATTCTTTATCATTATTAATAGCAAAAATTAATTTTTCTTTAAAAACAAATATATCTTTTTCATCGAGATCATTTATCAATTTATTTTTAATTGATAGAAGTAAAAATACTTGTTCTTCTTGATTAATTGGAGCATATTGTTTTTGTTTCATAATATTCATCACTTTATTACCATGATTTAATATTCTTAAAGTATTTGGATCTAAATCAGACCCGAATTGAGCAAAATCTAAGATTTCAAAATATTGAGCTAATTCTAATTTTAGTGAACTAGTTGCATATTTAATGGCTTGAGTTTGAGCACTAGAACCAACTCTAGAAACTGAAAAACCAATATCTATTGCGGGTCTTTGACCTGCATTAAATAGGGAAGAAATCATAAATATTTGCCCATCGGTTATAGAAATAACATTGGTAGGGATATAAGCAGAAATATCATTTGCAAAAGTTTCAATAATTGGAAAAGCAGTAATAGAACCGCCCCCTAATGATTTATTAAGTTTGGCAGATCTTTCTAGTAATTGGGAGTGAATATAAAAAATATCGCCTGGATAGGCTTCTCTTCCTGGTGGTCTTCTTAGTAGTAGCGATAATGTTCGATATGCAATAGCGTGTTTTGATAAATCGTCATAGATAATCAAAACATCTTTTCCTTGTTTCATTCATTCTTCTGCTATAGTAATTCCTGTATAAGGTGCAATATATTGCATAGCTGGTAAGTCAGAAGCGGCAGTATTAATTATTAAAGTGTAATCAAAAGCGCCATGCTTTTTTAGTTTTTGAATAATTTGATTTAAACTAGAATTTTTTTGACCTATAGCAACATAAATACAAATAACATTTTTATTTTTTTGATTAATGATCGTATCTATTGCGATAGTAGTTTTGCCAGTTTGACGGTCACCAATAATTAACTCTCTTTGGCCTTTGCCGATTGGTACCATAGAATCGATTGCTAAAATTCCTGTTTCTAATGGTTCGTTAACCGCTTCTCTAGCCATAATATCAAAAGCATTTTTAAAAATGTTTGATAATTTAGATTTATCTAATTCTTTTAAATTATCTAAGGGATTTCCCATCGCATCAATTACTCTACCAAGCATTTGATCACCATAAGGTACTGCTATAACTTGTTTAGTTCTATTAACCAAATCGTTTTCTTTAATATCATTTGGATTAGAAAACAAAACTATACCTACTGAATCTATCTCTAATGATAGAATCATCCCCAAATGTTTTTTATTAATTAAAACTAACTCACCAAACATAGCTTGGTCTAAACCACTAACATAAGCAATCCCATCTGCTATAGAAATAATTTTTCCTATGTCTTCGGTTTTTATCTCTTTTTCAAAATTTTTAATTTTTTCAGTTAAAACTTTTGCTAAAACTTCTAATTTATTTTTACTCATCAAACTCCTTTATTAAATAATCTTTGATATCTTCTAATTGTTTATTAACTGAATAATCTATTATTTGGTTATCAATAAATATTTTGATTCCTCCCAACAAAGAATCGTCTATTTTTTCCACTATTTCTATAGTGCAGTTATAATCTTTTTTTAACTTAGCTTCAATATCTTTAATTTGCTTATCACTTAATTTATAACTTGTATGAATAGTTGCTACTTTAATAAGGAAATTAGTATTTATTAACTCGATAATATGATCTAGGATTGTTGTAAGATAAAACATCAAATTATTTTTGATCAAGATTTTTAAAAAATTTATTAAGTATTTATCAAAATCTTTTTCAAATAAATCTAAATGGTTTACTTTTTCTTGATAACTAAATTGATATGATTTGAAAAAACTATAAATTAAAGAATTAGTTATAAAAAATTCTTTCAAATTAATAAGTTGGTTTTTAAAATCCAAAGTATTATTCTCTTTTTTAATTAAATTAAAAAATGCAAGACCATAAACATTAGTAATTTCATTTATTTGATTTATCATATCTACTAATTGCTACTATCTTTTATAAATTCATCAACTATTTCATTAGCTTGCTCTTTTGAAATTTCTTTTTTAATTATTTTTTTCGCTGTTTCAATTGCAAGATCTACAATAATTACCTTAGAATCCTTTTTAATTTGTTCTTTTTGTTGCTTAACTAATTTTTCTGCATCACTTAACAAACGTTTAGATTCTGATAAAGCATCTTTTATTGTTTTTTGTTTAATTACTTCAGCTTCATTTTTACCTTTATTAACAATCAAAGATGATTCTTTATGTGCTTCTTCAATTTGTTTTAACGCTTTTGTTCTTGCTAAAAGAGCTTCTTGTTGTGCTTTTTTGCTTCCATCAATATTATTTTTAATTAAATTTTGTCTATCATTCATCAATTTTTTAAGAGGTTTTCATACAAAAAAAGTCAAAACTAGAAATATGATTAAAAAAGATAAAATTGTGGCTAGAGCAACCCAACCATTAGGTAGTAATTTATCTAAAATACTACTTTCTTTTTCTGAATCTGCTGCTAATAATATATCTTTTTCCATTTTTTTTGGTTTTTTGTTAAAACAAATCTAAGTTACTTTACTAATTAAAATTAAAGCCGTCACAAAACTATAAATTGCCGCTGTTTCAGTAAGGGCAATCCCTATAATCATAGTCAATCTAATTTTTTTATCAGCTTCAGGGTTTCTCCCTACCGCCAAACAAGCTAACCCGGCTGCTATACCTTGACCTATACCTACTCCTAGTCCTGCTATTAAAGCTAAACCTATTCCTATTGCTACCATATTATTTCTTCCTTTCTAATTTAATTAATCGTTAAATAAAACAAATGTAGTTCATTTTATTTTACTAAATTTATTACTTATCAATTAATCTAACTTCTTTTAATCCTTTTAAAATACTTCATTTATAGACACTTTTTTTATCTAGTAAGGGGTCTGGCATTTCACTTCCTCAAAATAATGAAGTTAGTAAAACAAAAATATAGGCCTGGATAAATGTAGAAAATATATCAAAATATAACTGCATCCAAGGCATAAAAATCAATGCTAAAATATTAATTTTATTATCTTGTCCAAATCCAAACATAGAATTATTTGCTTTCAAACTATAACCAAAAACCATCTCAGAAATTTGCGCACCACCTAAAATGTTTCCAAAAATCCTAAACGATAATGAAATTAATACTGCCATTAATCCTATAAAGTTTAGAGGGTTTAAAATATTAAGAAAAAAGCCAATTATACCTAAGGCATAAACTCTTAAAACAACAATTATAAGTCAAGTAATAAAAGCTAAAAAAAGTGGTATTTGATAATCAAGAACAATAGGCTGTAGCCCTAAAAGAGATACGAGATTCCCTACCAAAAGAAATGAAAATAAAGAAAAAATATAAGATTTGCCGATCCTTAATTTTGATTCAGTTGCTTCATCATAAAGATTATCAATAAAATTTACAACTCCTTCTGCAAAAATGATTAAAAAACCAGGCGCTTGATCTACTTTTTGTTTCTTAATAAAATAAAAAATAATAAATGAAAATAGGCAAATTATTATTGTAGTTACTAATAGAGAAATAATAACTTGCAATTTTTCTAAATTTTTTATATCAAAAAAACTATCAAACATAATTTGTTAATAACTATAATATTCCAAAAAAGCAAAAATGTTTAAATAAATTATACAAATGAAGCTGGAATAGGAAATTCTTCTGTTAATTTCTTAACTTCATTCAAAACATTAATATCAGAATTAGATAATACTTTTATGATTAATTTGGCTAGATATTCAAATTCTTTTTCTTTAAATCCTCTAGTAGTCATCGCCGGAACTCCTAAACGTAGTCCTGAGCCGATATAAGGTTTTTCTGAATCGTTAGGAATTGTATTTTTGTTTACAATAATATTTTGTTTTTCTAAAATTTTTTCTGCTTGAATTCCTGTTAAATTGAATGATTTTTTAACATTGATAATAAATAAATGAGATTCTGTTCCATTAGATATTACTTCAACATCATTATCAATAAAGACTTTTGCAAAGGCTTTTGCATTTTTAATAATTTGGCTACAATAAGTTTTAAATTGATCTGTTAGAACTTCACCAAAAGCTTGAGCCTTAGCCGCAATGATATGCATCAATGGCCCACCTTGTTGCCCAGGAAAGACAGCTTTATCAATTTTAGGAGCTAATTCGTCATCATTAGTCATAATGATCCCACCACGAGGTCCTCTCAAAGTTTTGTGTGTTGTCGAAGTAATAATATGAGCATAACCAACCGGAGTTGGATAATTATTTGTCGCAATTAAACCAGCAATATGAGCTATATCTGCTATCAAATAAGCTCCAACTTTGTCAGCAATTTCTCTAAATTTTTTAAAATCAATTGTTTTTGAATATGCTGAATAACCACAAATTATGGCTTTTGGTTTTTCTCTTAAGGCAATTTGTTCAATTTCTTGATAATCTAGTAAGCCATCTTGATTTAAATGATAAAAAACTGGTTTATAAAAATGTCCTGAAAAAGATAAAAAGTGTCCATGAGTTAAATGCCCGCCTGAATCTAATGAAAGACCCATAATTGTATCCC